GACAATATGACAAATCTGGAGTGGAAGCACTTGTTACCATCCCATTCCGTCGGAGAATTTTGGGAAGAGGTTGGGACGAGACGGATATTAAAAAAATCCTTATTTATTGTCCCATTTAATTAATTATTTTTAGTATTAATATTTATTTTTAAAGGAAAATGTAAAAATCAAATAACAAGAAATAATTTGGGTTTGGAGAATTTGAGGTGGCGACTATGATCCGTACCCCCACCCTGTATACCGTTCCGAGCATGATTTTCCTCCCCATTCATGTCATAAAAATGAGGGATGGGATGAGGACACTGAATTTTGTCATCTCTACTTCACATTCACTATAGTGTTATGTTAATTTAAGAGAAATGTTGCATCGTAAGATATAGAATACGTTGTTAGTACCCGTACAAGCAGAAAAAAATTACTAGAACCTTAACTCACTTATTTTCAATTCATTAATTTGTTATTTTCTTAAGAATCCTCTTTTACATAGAGGACATGTCATTTGCTACATAAATTTGTGCTTGAGGATTTTTTTGTTGCACTAAGGTCTGAGAAGGTCCAACATAATATCAAATACTCTATTTACTTTTAGACGACAACGTCCAAAATTTTATTAAATAATGACGGGCTTGTGCTAGAACTGTAAATGGATCGGATCTATTTATATCCAATCTGATCCGATAAGAAAATTATCCGATCCGATAATCCGATTCGAAATTAATAAAAATTAGGAAAAAAAGTCAATATTCTTTAAAAAAATTTGAACTAACTTGAGACTCACCTATTTTTACTAGCAAGTTCAATAATGATTTCTAACATGATGATGTTCATTTTTAAATGAGAAATCTTCTTTTAATTTTCTATTGACATTCGATGTGAGATAATGTAAAATTGAATTTCAATTCTAATATAACTATTTTATTTCATTATTTCCATTAACAAATCAAATTATTTGTTACATATTAATTATTAGTTTTTGAAATTGTANATATTTTACATTTAAGTGTACAGTTATTTATTCAATTTGACAACCAGTTCGATACCGATTCGACCCCGATTCAACTTCTTGACCCTTGACCCTCTTTCTTTTTCGTGTTAATGCCCGGCTCGATTTTTAAAACATTGGTTGAAATCAATTTTTTTTTTTTCAAATTTTTCAATTCTTAAACATGTTTAATAATTATAAAATTTTCAATGTTTTTATGTTTTGAATTTGATTACTTATTTATTCTAAATTTATTTATTTTCTCATTTATTTTTTTAGTGACAAATAATATACCATAAAAATATTTTACCGACTCAATTATTTATAATAAATCGGATCGGATTGGATTGATATATATCCATATTTGATCCATTTAGTTAACAGATTATCAGATTCGGATCTTGATCAGGTTATCGAACTAAAATCCTAAATCCATCTCCCATTAATTTTATCGAATTCAGATCGAATTTACATCAAAATTCGATCCATTGACAACTCTAGCTTGGGCATGGTCATCTCTTTAAGTAGGGGGGATTTTCATCTTTGAAAATGCATTTTGTTTGGGCTATGTAGACTACTTGAGTTGTTAGTTGGCCTAAAAAACGAAGTTTTGCTTAAATTTAAATTCAAATCTAGTTCAAAAATAATTATCAAGTCCATCTCCCAAACATAGATTTAACATATAAAATAGAGATTCAAACCATTTTGAGAGTCTTAAGCAATCTTTGAATGGATCTTTTCAAGAATAATAATAAAATGTGACAAAAATATGTGAGGAAAATATAATTTTTATTGTTGTAATCTCTTGATCGTCTCACATTTTAGAATTATTTAACGATGAAAAATCATCAATAAATTATTTTTATTCAATAATTTTCAAAAAAATTATCACGTACATAAATACGATTGTGATTTTAAATTATTCTTTTTAAATTGTAATGATGTTATGGACATATTTTTCATTGGTAATATTGTTCGCCCTTTTTATCACAACATAATTTTCATCCATAAATTTAATTTTTAAAATATTACCAAGATAAAATATTTTAAATTCTTTTTAGATTAAATATCCTGTAAGAGATTCGATTGATCAATCTTCCGAAAAAACCAAATACATGTTGCAATTTCGATGGTAATTTCATAGTTGATATCTCTAGAATTTGAAGGACTTACCTACGTATAGTGCTTTAGACAATTAATTAACTACTAGGGCTTGTTTGGAAGACATTTTTTAAGTATCATTTTTCTCAAAATTTATAAATTTCTTCCACTTTTTAAATACACATTCTTCAAAAAAATTATTTTTTACTCGAAAAAAATCTCTCCTTTAGAGTTCCTTTTTCTTGAATTCTCGTGTATTAATGTGCAACTTTATGACTTTATTTGTCCAATTCACCCATTAAAGGAGAGGAATCTTAGCTTTAATTTTCCATTGGGAGGCAAAGGGTGGCACGGGACAGGACCTTTCGGTAGTAGAGTAGTCTTCTCATAAGCTAATCACTTCTTCAATCTTTCATTAAAATTCTGAAAAGGACTTTTCCTTTTTCATACTATTTTGATTATTCCCAATAAATTTTCTCTCTCTGTCTATTCAAAGTTAAATTCAAAAGGTAACAATATGTGTATCTTTCCCTATTTTCTTAAATTATATCTTTAAATCCCCACCCACAATCTCATCTTTTAGTAAAAATCCTCTTTTGTTGGGGTGAGATAGAAATGTTTATAATAGGGAAATGTGATAATAGGATTAGAGTTATAAAGTCAAGAAATAAAAGTCTCTTTTAACATAGGAAAATGAGAAGAGAATGTATAAATGGTGTAAAATTGTGTGTAAATGAAAATTTCTAAAATCACTTTTACATTTCGATGAGCCTACATCTAAATTCTGATACAATGGAAATACTTAAATCCACTTTTTACTTTTTGTTACATCTTTCTTTATATTTTCTGTTGGAAAATACAATTTACATTTTCTTTGCACCTCTTCAATGGAGAGGTTTTCGACCAATTTGAAGATCTAAATTATAATTTAGATAGGTTTTACATCACGATTGAAGATGTTCTTATGAAAGGGTTGAATTTGACATAGACATGACTAAAATCGTGTTGAGGCCACCGAAATATGAATTTTGCTAGTTGTACATCAAAGTGTATATTTAATGTTGACACCATGTGATGTGTCAAAATCTGTCATTGGTTGTTCGAGGTGTTGTAAAAATCAATGTATAAAAAATTGTTTCCTTACAACAATGTCAAATTTGATATACATATAAAAAGATTGCCAAAATATAACCTCCAATTAGAGCTTGGCCTAGTTGAATATGGGGTGAGCCAATCCTCCATGCTACTTGAATTTGATCATGCCTAATGTAATTTTGTCTCCTTTAAAACAAAGTTTTTAATATCCTGTTTGGTATAAATTAAAATCAAAATTTTAATCCATATCAAAGAAAACAATTAATATTAACCACACGTTTCATAAGATCCACAATTTTTCAACAACACGTTTTATCAATTTCTATCAAAATCTACTAAAAATCTAATTTTAATCCCCACCAAACTAGGCTTATTCTCATACTCATTTTTGACAATCCATTCACATAATAAAATATTTTATACTTAAATTCAAAAAATTTAAATATTTTTTAATCACGTATTCTTTAAAAAAAATCACTATTTAATTTCATTTTTTTCCCAAAATAATGGACATGAAACATGGGCTAAATGTTGATCTGTCACTGTCAATATTGAAAAAGTGGCCAGCCGGCCCAGCCCTCGGCCATTGTCGGCTGTCATTTCTTCTCACAACTTTCTAAAAGCTAAGTGCACTTATTTTCCTAGTGAAACATTACATCGACCCACCCGCTTGAATCGTAATTGAACTTTATCAAGTTTTACAACTTAATAATTGAATTTAAAAATATATTTTAATGGTCATCGATTTTTTTTCAAGTGTTATTACTTCATAATTGAACTTAAAAATATATCATAATAGTCACTGAACTATGCACCATGTTACCAATTCAATACTCAAAAGAAAAAATCTATTGGGTTCAATAAACAACGTCGACTTGAGTGATGAATGGATAATATGGTGTATAGTTCGATAACCATTAATATACATTTTTAAATTTATTTATTGAGTATTAGCACTTGGCCAAGTTTAGTGACAATTGAGATATTTTTTCAAATTTAGTTATTAAGTAATAACACTTGACATAATTCAGTGATCATTGAAATATATTTTTAAATTCAAGTATTAAGTCTCCCAAATCGACCTTTATGAGTGAAGAAATAAAAGAAAATGAAGGAAAAAAATAGGAAACAGAAAATCAGATATTTATAAATCGAATAAAAATAGAACCCTTGTTGATGTCAATTTTGAAATAAATGGATGAAAGTTTTGCTGTCCAAATGTAAGATATACCATGTTAAATTGGCTTTGAATGATTTGTGGAGTCATTAAATATCCGACTAGCATATCTCATTCATCGACAACTGTCCAAAAGTATGTTTGATTTTTGGATCAACTAGTATCAGTTCATCGTATCTCGAACTTCGCATAAAAAGATTGAAAGAGAGAGTATGAACACTGAAATATATTAACAGAGAAAAATTACATAAAAGTACAAAAATGTTTGAATTAGTTCTAAGATAACTGAGGTTAATTTGATTTTTCTTTTTTCCCTTCATTTTCTTCTGTCACAGAGGTTGATTTTAGGAAAAAATAAATTATTACTACTTAATAATTGAATTCAAAAATGTACCTTAATGATTGTTGAATTTCATCGAATGTTACATTTCATAAATAAACTTAAAAATGTACATTAATTGTCATTGAACTATGAACTGTGTTATTCATCCATCACTCAAGTCGACGTTGTTTATTGAATCTAACGGATTTTCCTATTTGAGTGATGGATGGATAACATGATATATCGTTAGTGACAATTAAGATATCTTTTTAAATTCAATTACAAAATACTAACACTCGACGAAGTTCAATATTCATTGAAATATAATTTTAAATTCAAGTATTAAGTAATAACACTTGACGAAATTGTGTAACCACTCGAGGAATTAACCCTCAACCCACAACTACATTAATACATAAATTATTCAAATGCAAGATTGACTTGTCTTATTTCTTGGTTTTGAAGTCTTCTCATTCTCTGTTTGTCACTGTTTCTGTTACGTTTGGTGAAAGTGCTTCTTTTGGAAAGGCCCCAGCTTTTTTCTTGGCTTCTTGATTCTGATTCTCTAGATTACCAAGGTTTGATTCTGCTTATTCTTTTCAATTTTTTTCTCTAAATTTAAATTAATTTGGAAAATTTTATGTCACATATGTGTATTTCTATTTCCAAGTCAGATTTGTTTTTTCCATTGAGCTTCAAAGATTCCGGGTTTGAACCTTGTGTTTTTTCAAAGAATTTAATAAGTTTATTCGGCAGTAATATTTATCATGTTCTTAGACATTTCACCAAGTTGACTTCAAATTTTTCTCATTCTTTTTCTTTGTCACGATTCAGGGCATATTCATATATTTGTTTGGCTTTTTCCTCTCTGTGGAATTTATGTTAATGACTATTGCATATTGGGTAAATTGCATTATATGCTAGTCAGTGAACATCATGAATGCATAGTTCTGATTTAGTAGCTCGCCTCTTTATGTTTACAGCATTAGATTACTCAGTGGGCTGTCTATTGCATTTTGGGAATATTGAGTTACTGTTCTATTGGGGTGTTATACAGAACAACTTATCAATGGATTCAAGGGAAACTCCAACTGATGAGTTTCAGCAGAAAGCTTACCCTACTATTGCCACAGCTCTAGTTAGAGCAGTTCATGAATGGTGGCTGATTTTTATGCTATTTATTGATGCTGGTTTCTCATACTTAGTTACCAGGTTTGCTCGTTATTGCCGTTTGCAAATTCCGTGTTTGCTTTGCTCTAGACTTGATCATGTTCTGGGCAATGAGCGAATAGGTTTTTATTGGGATCTAATATGCCACAAGCACAAGTTAAAGATTTCATCTTTACTTCTTTGTCATCTTCACGACAACCTTGTTGATGTTCATGGAATGTGTGACAGTTGTTTTTTATCATTTGCCACGATAAACAAGTCAAATGCTGAAACATATAGGTTATTGGTTGACAAATTGGGGCCTGGGCCTCATTATGGGCTTGATCAAGGTTCTTTATCTCAGGAACATAATCTTGGTTGGACTGACACAAGAAAGTGTTCTTGTTGCAATGAAAAATTGATATCTACAAGTTATGCCAAGAAGTTAATCCAAACTAAGTCAATCAACTCTGAGGAAGCTGAGATTGATGCACCTTTATCCAAACGATCTGCGCCTAATAGGGATGAGTTGAAGGATATTAAAGATGCATCATCTACCTTCCACCATTTGAGGAAAAATGATGCTGATCCTTTGTCACGTGTAGAATATTCAAAGATCAATGTTACTTCCAATAGTGAATCAGAAACTCCATTTTCTGATGACGAAAGTGGTCATGCACTTGTTCGTGAAATGGAGTCACCAGACAAAGATTTAGCTGCTGAGTATGTACAATCAAAACCTCGGGTTGTTGCTCGTGCTGATAATGATGATGCTGATCCATTAGCACATGTGAAATATGCAAAGATTAATATTACTTCTGATATTGAATCTGAAACTCCATTTTCTGATGATGAAAGTGCTTGTGCACTTATTCGTAAAATGGAATCATCGCACAAAGATGTAGCCGATGAGTATGTACAACCAGAACCTCCAATTGTTTCTCTTGCTGACAATCCAGATCCAGAGGAATTGATAAATCCAGCTTCTTCAACCAAGCTTTCACTTTTGGAGTCAGAGGTGCAACTGGAAGCTAATAATTCCTGCTGTAATACAAGATCTGAGTCACCCATTGGACATCATGGGTTGGAGGAACTTAACAGGCAGCAAGCTAATCACAAAAATGATGGTTGGGTACCATCTGAGCTCATAACTCTTGATGAGATACTTCAGCTGCCGGAGGTTTCTGGGAATGAAAGATATGAATCAAAAGAGACTGGTGAGTTAATGCATTTTGCTGTCTCAATATATCTGTTCTTTTCTGTTGGATCTGCTTACATTTTCCAATACCAGCTACTGTTAGGTGTATTCAAAATCTCTATTGATCTGGAATGCATAACTTTTTTGACTTTTTTTTGGTCATCTTTTGTTCATAAAATAATTATTTAAAAAATTGAGAAAAAAAGATAAGTTTTGAAATCGACTGATATGATATTGAAATGGCTTAACTCTTTTTACTGCTTTCTTCTTTTAAAGAAGAATGAAGCTGATTCTGAAAATATGATGTGGCAGTTGCAATTGACCATTTTGCCTACCCTATCATCTTTTTTTTTTTTCCTTGCTGCAGATGCCGAAGCCATGGCTGAATTGGAGAGAGAAGTTACCTTGGAGGGTGGAGAAACTTCTGGTTTGAAAGTGACACCACGTCAGCAAATGATGACTAATTCTTTGGATCTTAGTGACGCTTATAAGTTAGCTGTTGGCAATAAGGGAAGACAGTTGTCCGGACGACTTTTAGAACAACAGAGATCTATGAAGGATTCTGAGAGAGCCAGTGCAGATGTGAAGCTCTTGTTGTCACAAATATCTTCTCGGGGAATTGATCCGTCATTGAATGATATGAGCCCTAGGGTGTCTGCAAATAGCAATGATTTTAGAACTTTCAATGCTTCTAACGCTATTGGGATGCAGATATCACTTGAGAGAAATGAATCTAATATATCTCTTGATGGAAGCACTGTCAGTGAAATCGAAGGTGAAACTGTGATAGATCGATTAACACGACAGGTTGAGCATGATAAAAATGTAATAGGTGCTTTATATAAAGAATTGGAGGAAGAGAGAAATGCTTCTGCAGTTGCTGCTAATCAAGCAATGGCGATGATTACTAGATTACAGGAAGAAAAGGCAGCCCTCTATACGGAGGCCTTGCAATGCCTAAGAATTACTGAAGAGCAAGCTGAGTATGAGGACGAAGCACTACAGAAAGCAAACAACCTACTTGCAGAGAAGGAGAAAGAGATTCAAGATTTAGAGGCTGAACTTGAACTGCACAAGAACAAACTTGGAGGCCTATCTTCATCAGGTCAATTTGTGATGCCAAGTCCTGAATCTGGTGCAGGTGAATTGAAGGTAGCACAATTAGATTAGAACCATAAAGAATTTATTAACATTTCATGTCACAGTTCAAATGATGATAAATTTGATGTAATCAATAGAATTGTTGAAGCACTGAAGTTGTTTGGGAATATGGACTATAATACCTCTGTGGAAGTTGAAGATGAAAAAACAATATATCTTGCGATGTTTGATACATTTAGAAGAAAAGCTTAATTCATTCTCGAAAAATGAGGTCTGCTCCGAGATGACTGATGGAGACTATTCAACAGAGGAAGGAAGTGGTGTAAGTGGTTCCAAAGAGCTTGATTACAGGGAGGTGTATTAAAGATGGTGGAATGTGAGATAATCATTTACAAAAGATACTAAGCGAAGAAACCCTTTCTGCTCAAGAACAACCTACTTTCTCCATAATTCTCAATATGTTAATGAAGGAAATGGTGGATTCAAATATAAACAACACGTCAGTCGATATTCCAAGTAGATGCTCCTTCACATGAGGTTTCTGTTTTTAGAAAACATTAGAAAGGTATAACAGAGTTTTCTTGAACATTCTGTTATTACTTGAGAAGGGAACCTTGGGACCTGAATCTATTTGAGAATACCTTCTGGTCTGCGTGAAGTACATTCAACTCAGATTAGAAGAACACAACTTTCAATGTGAATTTCTATAACTGATTACCTTAGAGGTAAACACTACTAAAGTCATCTTATTCATGTCTCTTTTCCCTCCTCAACTCTGTCAAATCTCATATTAGGTCAGTCATGTATTTTTACCTTCGCAATCCTAGTTCATGCCTAATTTTCAAATGTAAGTTGTGGCAATACTTGGGTATGAATTGCAACACGAATACCGAGTTCAAAATATTGTTAATAGTTGATAAGCATCTTTGCACAGTATCAAAGATTTTCAAGGTAAAAATGGATGCAGGTCGTTAGCTACTATGAAGAAGACGCAAATAATTCTTAAAAATGTATGTGAATTCATATCTTATGTGTTGTTTCTTCCAATTTGAAGGATTGGTCTACTCTTGTGATATGTTGTTTGAGTAATAGGGCGCTGCAATGTGAGTGCAAATGATATATACTATTACTCTACATATATTCAAAAACTTCTAATATCTGCAAGTAATGCTTGATTTCCTGAAAACATTTCGTATATTATTGCACAATTGATTAAATTTCTTTTTCTAATATATGCCTTCTTATGGTAGAAGATGATTCAACTCTCTGGAAAGCCGGAAGGCAACTGTAATGCACAGCTGGTTGTAGAAATTCTGAAAGTAAACCAATTCTTTATCCTTTTGCTTTCTATTTCTATATATAACGGTTAAAGTTGAGCCTGTGTGATTCTTTCTATTTGTCCATGTTTAGTTGGGTTTACATAAAGAAAAGGAATGTTTATGTTTACTGCTACATTGAACTCTGAAATATTTCGGTTTTTGGTTATATTCTGTTATTATTATTCATATTAGAGTCTCACCGAACTAAAATGAAAATTGCTTGTGTAGACTTTTCTTCCTTTGTCTCATTCAGTTCTACTGTACCAAATCATCGTTGGAATATATATTCATGAATCCCATTTAGAAAGTAAGACACGAGTAAGAGAAACGTATGATAAAATTAGTGGGAAACCTTCTTTCACTCTTACAATTAGTAATGACATAGCCACAAATTTGAACGAAAAAGTTATTAGCTATATCTTTGTTTTTAAACAAAAACAAAGATAGAGATAGTAAGAATGGAAGCCAACATTTAGAGTACAAACAACAGGCTATCTGTTGTAGATGCTACTGTTTGGTTTCAACTTTCCCATTTGCAGTTGCTTCTTGAACTACAGCTTGGCTTCGATTAATCGGTGTCTCAAATTTCTCACCCTTTTCCAGCACAATTTCTATCTGAACAAGTTGCAAAATGAAAAAGATTGTTCATTTTATTATGTACATATAAACGAGAAGTTCAACGTAATCGAAGAATAAGGGGCTCGACATAGTATCAAAGAATTTCACGAGTCAGATTTTGATGAACAAATGAAACCAGCCCACAGGTGTGCATGTCAAATCATTCTATTTTCGAATAGTTTAATCTTATGAGGCGATTCTTTGTGTCATGTCAGAAAATGTAAAAATAGAAAAATAAACTAAATCTGTTTTCATAGTTTAAACTTTTAAATGAAGTGATTTAACATAATATTAGAATATATCAGATTTTTAATGAAAGAGATGTAGACGCAGGTACAAGAGCGTATAGGTACTGACTCTGGCTTTCTGAACTAACCGGCCCTTGGCTTCATCGTTCATCCCCACTGTGGATGTTAAAATCTCTGCTCCAATAATACCAAATCAAAGATTAAAATTCTGCTAGGAAACTTGTCATTCTTCAAAAAAATGGAATTTTTTTCCTAATTAATCAATGTTAAGAGTAATTGCTTACTTTTCTCCGAGGCAAATCCACTATTTTTAAGAATCTCAGCTATTGTGACAACTGTGGTAATTGCTGTAATGATTTGTACAAAAAATGTCAGTTCAACCACATATTTCTCAAAGAATTAACTGTAAATATGTAAATTTAAGGTTCGAAGCAAAATAGATAAATAGTAAATTTATCTTCTATCTAATTATTATTATTATTTTCAAATTTTACGGGAAAAAATAGCATAGCAGCAGAACATTTTTTACGAAGACAAGCCTGCCGAGGCACGGCCTTGACTGTTCACTTTACACCTCTAATTACTCGAAAAACAAGTGGGCATTTTAGCGATATTACTAAAGAAACAGGTTAAGAATTTTGTTACCCATGCCCAAAGCAGATAGCTCAATCTCAGTATTCTGCTGCAAGTACCTCTGCATCATAAAGAAATTTGGAAATTGTGAAATATAATCTCCCTAAAACTCATGTATTTATTCACTTTCCAAGCCACCTTAATTAGATATGCACACTCATTCTATCTCAAATTGCACATAGAATAGAAGCATCCATTGACAGAAAAATTATCACGATAAGATGATCATTTCATGGTGGAAGAAGAAGATGTGCAAATCTCGAGTGAGTGAGTACCTACCTTGGCAAGATTGACATAGAAGAAGAGAGGTTTTTTGGTGTTAGACACTTGAATTCTGTTCTTCTTAAGATTTTCACTGTTTATTTGCTTCACTGCATCAGTTTCCATTGTCATTTTTCCTCTCCAAATATGTAAACATTAATCTCTAAATTTGGGTTGTCTTAGCTAATACTATATATCTAAATTTGGGGCTTAACCGTTGCATGCATGAGGCCTGTAATTTCAATGGAAATCCGAAATAAAAGCCCCTTTTGACCAAGTAAACATCATTTAGTGGCTGTAGAGTGGCTTATAAAATTTACTTGGAAGGAGTTTCATTTCACTTTGTGAACTACATTTTTCAGTCATAAATATTATTTATGAGGAAATCAAAATTTATAAACATATTTCGATAGAATCCGAATCCAGAATGCAGTTTTATTTTCTCTGAATTTCTAATAGAATGATGGATTCTGGATTTTAACAGTATCTATCAGAATATAGAAATCTTTTACTGTTACTTTCGATCATATAATTATTTTGTAGAACCTTTTCATCGTTCGAGTGACTCCTTTGAACTATAAAAACACGAATTCATAATTCCTTATGCTAGATTATTTTGATATTAGAGCAATTCTCATCAATTTCAACCTCTTCGACCACTTGGTAGATATCTTGTGTATTCATTGAGTTGAAGGTGGCATCATCTTCAACAAATCAATCACAGGTAAACCATCTTTTATTTTTTTCTTGTACCAAGCTTTGAACTTCGAGCAACATGGGATCTTGTTGACTAACCTCAAAACAAATCTCTCGGTATGTAAATTGTAGAACTCGTTATGGTGGTTCAATTGAATGATACAAAGTTATTAATTATTTGTAAATATAAATACAATTTGGTTGAACATTGAGATAATCACTCTCGCAGCAGCGATAACTTGTTCTGGTTTAAGTAATTTTGTGTTCATATATGGTATTGACAAGACGGGTATAAGGCATGGTTGCTTGAATCCGATCTTTTCTTTTCTGAAGAAACTTCTGTAGAGATTTCTTCAAGGAGATGCCTCGACGATGCAACTGAAATTGCATATATGGTACTGATGCCACACTACTAGTTCTTGACTTGTTTAATTTTTCTTCCATTTCCATTCTTGCAAGCCAAAGGATAGCTATGGCCTGCAGCAGCATTGCATTACACAATCTAATCATCAATCCATTAAAAAAATTGGAATTTTTTAAGATTCTTTATCATCAAATAATCAGTTTTTGAAACATTTCCAGTTGTTGTGGGAGACGGACGCCAATGTTTTCCTTTCAAATCGACATAAAATACACAAGTCCCTCATTTTGCAGGTTGAAATAAATACATGGAAAAAAATATATAGGGGAAATTATGTAGGTAGGTAGGTACCTGAAGTTCAGTTGCATCTCTCTGAAAACTTATAATTCTTTTTCTCATTGATGAGCAATTAGGCCTACAATCATACATACTGTATTCAATTTCATGCATGCAACCCAAGAAAAGGAAAATCAACTACAAATCCTACATAAGACGTGATCTTAGTTATGAATATGTCACTGATGTTCCAAAATCCGTCATCGATCCTATAAAGAACACTCGAAAAAAGGACTAAAATATATAACCAACTTACACCGGTTGGCTACAAGAACTCGAATTCGTTGAAGGCAATGATGGAAAAAATTGATAATAGTTTCTTCTCATTTCACTTCCTCCTGATCATATATTGATTACATAAAGAAGACTTTAGCCTTCACTCACTCCATGTGCAGAAGCAAATAGGAATCAGGATTTTATTGCTTGAAAACTACGTGTGCCTCTTCAAGAATTCAGTTTAAGACAGCAACTATATTGGCATTGTCTTTCTACACAAATGTGGATGGCATATAAGATGTTTTCCGAGGCTAAACAAAACAAGTATCGTGTTACGCTTTTAGATGAACAATTTCGTTTACCGGTTAGTTATAACCACATAAGCTCGGTACGATTGGAAAAATACACATAATAAGACTATCTATTTGATGCTTAACCTCTCTATACTCAACTCGTCTTAATACAATGCGATTTTTGGTTAGGCTTATGGATTCTAATATTCTATTGAGATTCATGTAGATTACCCTTTTGTATAATTTTTTTTTGGTTTGATCAAACATTTTGTTTGATGGTAATTGAAGACAGACAAAAACATGTGGGTTTTGTGGTAAGTTTCAGCATGATATAAAGTTGAGGAAATATAGAGTTGGGACTACTATAATTAAAGGAAAATTTTATATCTTGCCAAGAAAGAGTACCAAAGTCATGGAGTACCTCTCCATTTACCATTTCTAACTAATTTGTGGTATTTTTCTTCACTTCACCAACTCTCCAAGACAAAGAAATAGATTCAACATGGACAAAATCCTTATCCTAGGCAAATTTCTTGGTTTTCTTAATCATATGATGATGTTTTTTTTTTTTGAAAGACTCTTGAGGATGAAGATTTTTCCTGTTTCTAGTCATTTAAACATCTATGATGTACGATCATCAAGATTACCGGCCCAATCTGCATCAGAATATGTGGTGAGAGCTGAACTCACACCCTTGCGGAGTTGGAGTCCATGAAAAATTGTTTGATTCAAGTAGCAAAGGAGACATTTTGTCACGGTCCAATGTGTGACTGTTGGTTTATGTATAAACTAAGATAATTTGTTGACATAGATGGCCTTGCACAACCTACAAACAAGGTTCGGATGTGACAAATCTTTGAACCCTGGTGGTTGGGCCATGTATATATTCTCGGTGAGAGCACCATGCGGAAATGTATTATTCACATCAATTTGTCTTAAAGGCCATCCCTGCATCACAGCAATTGTCAAAAAATATATAATTGTAGCAGGTTTCACAACTGGACTAAAGGTCTCTTTGTAATCCAAACAGAGTGTTGATTATAAACATTGGCCACAAGCTGAGCTTTGAATCGATCAAGTGACCCATCTGTCTCTCTCTTAATCCTAAACACTCATTTACACTCAACTGGATTACAGTTTTTAGGTGGTGGGACCAACTCTCATGTACCCTGTCTCATAAGGGCAGTAAGCTCATCAGACATTGTTGACTTATGGTTGATTTCATCCTTAATGTTTTGATCATAACAAAAAAGATTAATATTGTTTCTAACAATTGATTTTGAGTGAAAATAGTTCAACGTTAAAATCAATCAAGAATTAAAAATGAGACTCGAAATGAATATCAAAGTGAAAGTTAAAGTATTCAAGTCAAGTCATTCGAGACGAGAGCTTGAAAGATTAAATGGCAAGAAAGATCAGGAGTATGAGAAACGACGTAAAAAAAGATTAAGACGAGAAATCTAAGAGGCAAACTTCGAAGCAAAATCAAATACTAAACTTTTTAGTTCAAATATAAATGTACTAATACTTTGATATTTAGCAATGAATGATAAAAACTAAAAAAAAAAAAATCATTTTATGCATGAAGAGATTATTTTATAAAAATTCTTGCATAAAAAAAATATTTTTCAAAAAGGTAAGTATTTTAACTTGATATTTGAAATTTTTACAATGTTACTTACATTGAAAAATAAATTAAAAACGTCATTCAAAAGCTTTTATAGTTGTGAAACAATCAAAAAGGGCAAAAAAAAAGTCCAAGTGGACGTCCGGTTCACCCACAGTCATTTTTTTAACCATTCTAATTTTTGACGCACAATGACTAATTTGATTGTCCGTTTCAGGATGTGAACGTTCGTATGGATTGTCCGATTGGTTAACATATGAATATTTTTTCTTGACTGGAGCTTGATTAGTGCAGCCTTGATTTACATATACAGGCTAAGAATCAGCTTTGTTAATTGGTGCTTGATTTGTGCTATCATTCTTAACAAGAATGTAGTGTAACATTTGCACCAGAGTAAACATAAAGAAACCTCAGGTAGAAAATGTGAACATTTTGTTTAATACCCTCCTCGTAGAATGCTCCAGGCTAGTCGATGAATTTTCTGTTAATACTTGACTTCCATTGATGCACGCTCACCTAATTCACCATTCACAGAATCCCAAATAAACTGAACATATTGTTAGAATGTACCCATTTCGCATTTTCAATAGAAATTCATTTTCACATTTCAAGGTATAAGAAAATAAACGCACTTTGGCTTTCAAGTTATCATCAATACCATCTCTATCGCATTTATGCATCCAGAGTTTCTTTTACGTTCTAGTTAACGCATCAATCCTCTCAGATCTTCGTCACTATCATAAACGAATTTAGGACCGGAATAATAAAACGGTGGTAGAAGTTGTTCCCAATTTTTTTCNCTTTTGTATTCAAGTGCATTATACAGAATCAATGAAACACTAGCCTCCTCTTCTTTTTCTTTATTTCTTTGGATTGTTTAACAAGTTAATCTATTGTTTATTTGTTGTTTTTACTTCCACTGAAAAAAATAAAAATGAAAAATAAATTAAAAAATCAGTTTGCTGCTGTTCAATAAACTCTCGTCATTCACACATATCAACCCACAATCGACCACATAGCCCACCACTAAATCATATCACCAGCCCAAAACATGTCCATTTGGCCCAAAAAACCCACCAAGAAACCTAAGCCCGTTAGTCCACATACCCTAACTCTTAACCTATTAAAATCCGACAATTTAACTTCAAATTGAATTTATCGTACACGTTTCATTATTCATCGTTACATCTTATAATATGGGATGGTGTGATGTGACCAAATTTTAAGAAACATTGAACAAACATTGCGTGTGGCCGTGAATTGTGACCCCCCTTTGATTGAATCCGAAGGTGACCAGTTGAGGAATTACTTCCGCCTGCAAATTAGTAGTGGTACTGTGGAAAGCACCTTTGCACGTGTGTTTTTGTCTCCAAATTTGTTCCTCATTATTGCGGTTTTTGGGACAATAGAGAACAAAATGAAATGTCTTAATAATTGGTGAAAAATAAAGTAGAAATATTAATCCGTGAAAGTGAAATAAAAAAAATTAATCATTTACGGATTCAGATTAAATTCTATTTGGGCATGTTCGGTATAGATTAAAATTGAAAATTAGACGTTATTGTTGATTTTTATTAAACGAGTGAGACCCAATAACGATTATACTTTCAATTTTAATTGAATTTTAAACTTAATTAAACAGGCTCTTATAATCGAGTTTTAAACACTCGAAGACGACTTTATGAAAATAGGTGAAAATCAGCTTTAAATTGATGTGACAAAAAAAAAAAGAAAATAAAAAAATCTGACAGCACTAAGCATCAGTATATTACATGAAAATCGTGTCCCCCTCTGGAGTCCTCCATGGTCCCTAAACGACACTTTTGACCCATTTAAATGGTACGTCGGTGCCGTCTTGGAAAAGTCGTGAATCCCCACAAGCACGATTTCAATGTTTTACTATTTGTTTCTTTCGAGAAGAAAATGCGTTCACGACTCAAATTAGGACATAATTCTTGTTGAATAATAATATCGATTTAATACTCATTATAGAAGTTCCGTGCCTCTCTTTTTGTTTTTTCCTTTTCCTAAAAAATTTGATCGTTCCGAGCAAATGGGTGGTCAAGTACGATTCAATATAAATAAATCTATATTTTGATTTTAAGTATTTAATCAGACTCTCGTGCTCACATTTATCTTAGATAAGTGCCACCGGGTCGTAATTAGAAAATCTACTGTATAATCTAAATTAGTTGTCCATGGTTATCTTTTACGCAGTTGAGCTACATTTTATATATAGTAATATAGTATATATATGCTTCTGTTCGTCATCTTTTAAAATTTTAAATTGTTTGCTACAGTACAATTTTTCACCACACATCTACAGGGCTAAGAATGAAAAAGAGAATGGACGTCTAACAGGGCTAAGAATGATGCAAACGCGGCAAAGCTTAATGTCCCCACCTGCCGGTATGAATTGGTGGATTAAAGTCGTAAGTAGTTCACTTTGACCCGAATGGATTAGGCAGATCTCAGTCCAATTTTGCCTGCAAGTTTGACCCAAATGGATTAGGCAGATCTTGGTGCAATTTTGCCTTCATCTACATGCATGCAATGCAATGTAGGGACACTTGCATCAATATGAACAAGACTTGACCATAGACGTGAGTGTCTATTGATAGTCACAAGTCATAACCAAACAAACGAAGTCTCCCTCGTGCGATGGATTAAACGCATTCACATTGAGCACGCCGCCCTCTTTAATGGGAGCAAATAGCCATCCACTCTCTTCATGCCTTGTGCTAAATTAATAGTATTTACAATCTCCCGCTTGAACTAGGACAAATTTCAAATTTTCAATTCTCGCCTTTTGTATTTGACCAATCAGGCATCTAATAAATGACAAATTTCATGAGATTATTAACCTAGTATGATCATTAAAAAAAATAAAAAATCTTCTTCTTGATATATCATTATTGACCTATATTAATTAATTCGTGTTGTCGACCAAGATTGTCCCCCTAGCATTAGACGATTCATGTGATGAAAATTTCGAGATCCTCTTGTCAGGGTTAAGGAATGTCTGGCCATTACGGGTTTAATAGAATATAAATGTCCTCGATCAGTATACTAAATATGCACTAAACATCCTTTTTTTTTTTTTTTNCACGTGGCACCATATTTTAGCAGTGGGACCAGCTTAATTAAATCAGGGTATATTTTCTTAGCCTCGGACGTGGGTTCCGAGGCCATCGCTGTTGTTCCGAGGCCACTGTTGTTAACTATAAGCTACGGTTCGATGAACATGCACTGTCTGAGGTTCCCTTGCAGCTACTGAAGACCCACGCTTGAAGATCCACTCATGATGAAAATCTTTATGTGAATGATTGACGTGACTCTTATGTAAAGTTTATTTGTGTCTTGTCTTGTCAATGTAAGAGCATTTAATGTTTTGTAAGACTGAGATAGTCAATTTGATAACTAGAACTTGATGTCTCGGCCAAGGAGATGAGGCCACGTGTAAATTGATCCAAAAGTCACCATTTATCTTGTAACACTATAAATACCCCCACCATGTAACATAGAGAGGACGAATGCAAATTCTGAAGGAAAAACTAATATTTGGAGCAATCTCTCTCGTTTCAACAGTAATTTTTACAACATATTCTCTACTACACATTGTTCTTTATCGATTGGTTTCTTATATAATCGTGTTACATTTTCTTGCCGGAAGCCTGAACGGAAACGTCTCGTGCCTTAGAATCACTCCCACGCCCATTTTCTGGAGTCATCTTGACCGTTGATCGGCATTAGCGTGTTGGATCAAGTTTGCGTGCGCACTAGTGTGCCCGGCATCTGTTGACAACATTTTTTGGGGTCAACACCTTTTCCAAAAATATTTGATCGTTCCGAGCAAATGGGTGGTCAAGTATGACTCAATATAAATAAATCTATATTTTGATTTTAAGTATTTAATCAGACTCTTGTGCTCACATTTATCTTAGATAAGTGCTCACCTGGCCGTAATTAGAAAATCTATTGTATAATCTAAATTAGTTGTCCGTGGTTATCTTGAACGCAGTTGAGCTACATTTTATATATATACATATATGCTTCTGTTCGTCGTCTTTTAAAATTTTAAATTGTTTGCTACAGTACAATTCTACACCACACATCTAGAGAATAAAATATTTTACACACAAAATAAGAGCTCAAGTACAAGGAGTATATAGACGTTTACAAGTATCCTTGTATATGTTATGTACGCACCAGCACACGTGGCTGTACACATAAAATTAAGGTTGTGTTTGACATCCATTTTGGAGAAAAAATAAATTCTGAAATAGTGATTGATGGAAGAATGTGTGGTTAAAAAGTAAGAAGAATTTTTGAGTTTATGTGTAATATTATTTTATTGATAGAATGTGTGGTTGAAATGAAGAAAGAGAATGTGAAAGAGAATTAGTGTCACACATGGGCTAAGAATGATGCAAACACGGTAAAGCTTAATGTCCCCACCTGCCAGTTATAATCTTCCACCGGAAAAAGAATAAATGAACAAAAACTACATTTTGATATGAATCGGTAGATTAAAGTAGTAAGTAATTCACTTTGACCCGAATGGATTAGGCAGATCTCAGTCCAATTTTGCCTGCAAGTTTGACCCAAATGGATTAGGCAGATCTTGGTGCAATTTTGCCTTCATCTACATGCATGCAATGCGATGTAGGGACACTTGCATCAATATGAACAAGACTTGACCATAGACGTGAGTGTCTATTGATAGTCACAAGTCATAACCAAACACACGAAGTCTCCCTCGTGCGATGGATTAAACGCATTCACATTGAGCACGCCGCCCTCTTTAATGGGAGCAAATAGCCATCCACTCTCTTCATGCCTTGTGCTAAATTAATAGTATTTACAATCTCCCGCTTGAACTAGGACAAATTTCAAATTTTCAATTCTCGCCTTTTG